TGTGTGTGTGTGTGTGTGTGTGTGTGTGTGTGTGTGTGTGTAGCTGGCTCTCAGTATGTGGTCTTGTACAGGATGAGCGTGAAAGGAAACAGAGACTCTGAACTCTCAACAGAGATTCTCAATCTCCCAGCGTTTCTGACCTTCTCCAACGCCACTCAGGTATCCACATCCACTCCTGTGTGTATCTGTCTGTCTGTTACTCGCTGTGCATGCTGGGATGTGTGTGTGTGTGTGATGTTTTGGACCTTGATGATCCTGTCATTGTTGTTTTGTTTATGGAAAATAATATGCTGAATCTGATCAATTGTATTTCAGAATCACAGTGATCCAGTGATCGCCAATTTCACTGTGAGGATAAACACCACTGAACAGGTAAACAAACACACACACACACAAACACACTGAAATTCACACACTCTCTCTCTCTCACACATACACATGCAGGCACACACACTCCCATGTAACCAGCTGCTGTTGCTGGTGTGTGTTTGTGATCTGAGTGTGTGTGTGTGTGTGGGGCAGGCTGGTGTGGATCGCTCTCTTCTCCTCGTGGGATTCATGGTCTCGTTTCTCCTGACGCTCCTGTTGGCGTCGTTGAACTTCCTGCGGCGCAGACGACTGCTCAGCTGCACTCCACACACGGTCAGTTCATTCCAGTCTCAGCGCTGAGTGTGTGATCGGCCCGTCAGCGCATGCATGGATGCAGTGTAGCGGTGAATGACTCGTTGTTTCTTCATTTCTAGAGAAGCAGCATGAATGAAGAGTGTGACATCACTGCGTCAGCCAATGAGGAGGCAGCGTTTGAGGATAAGTTTGTGGATATCGTGATGTTGGAGGAGCCACAAAACATGATTCAAGTGCTTGACAGGTGAGTGTGAGTGTGTGTGTGTTAGGGCTGTCAAAATGGCTGAAAAACTAAATTCGAATTTTGTACTTAAATATTATCAAAATTCAAATTATATTCGAATTTAAAATGCATAATTTCAGTTAGGGTGAAGAAAAGCTTTTGGCTGCTCTCCTGAGGCCACAAGAGGGCGCATCATTCAAAGCATAAGATAACATGACTATCTGCGGAAAAAAGTGCATAATGTTTAAAATAATGTTTATAAACCAATTATAATTAAGTTGCTTAAACAACTGTAAACAAAACAGCATCATGTGTGTATGCATAGTTTAATACAAAGGGCCGAAAGCCAATCACACAGAGTACATTTTTCATTTAAAAACATGAGATGCAGTGGGATGGGGAAAAAACAGCCATAAAGTCTCGATATATGTTTTTTTCAAAGTTAAACTTGCATTAATTTTACATGGCTTTCTAAACATGCGGCTCTTTTGTGCGAGACGCGAGTGCAATGCTGATAGATGTCCCTCTAGAAAATGCATGAAATATGAGTTCTGTGTGAACGGCTTGGTTTCGGTTTTGATGTAAGCAAGATCTTCTCCGCATTGATGTTCTCTTTTTCCGCTGTATTTGTAATGAACAACACAGCATCGCCGCATCTAGTGGCTTCAACTGGATAGACTAACAAACAGATTATAATGCAACGACACTTACATCGTCATCTCGTGCGCTGCTGATAAAGCTGCCTCCTTAACGAACACCTAAAAGTCGAATGGAACGTTTTTGCATTCGAATGTGGATTTTTATTTTAAATCTGAAAAAAGTCCCCTGATTCAGATGGTCCTGAAGCTGCAAAAACAAACTAACATGACTAACAACATCCAGCATCAGGACTCTGAAATATTCATCCACAAAATTCGGCCCAACCAAATTATAAAAGCACAAAAAGACAATTATCTAACTTATTGGACTGAAACAACAGAAAAACAAAGTAAATTTGAATGTTATTTGGCCCTAAATAGAGATTACGCAACTGCAGATTATCTGAGTACAGTGCAAGACTGTAAATTAAGAAGACAAATGACGAGGTACAGACTGAGCAATCATACTCTGACTATAGAGACGGGCAGATATCCACAGCACTGGCTGCCCAGAGAGAGCCGCATCTGCCCTTACTGTACTCACAGAGCAACACTTCCTCACCAGCTGCACTAACTATCAACTCGTTAGAAAGACATTTTATCCAAAATATGAAATACTTTACCCTGACTTCATACATTGATGCCTGTCACAAAAAGAGGGAGGAGTCAACAAATCAGTGATGCGCCAACACACACACACACACTCACTCACTCTCTCACTCTCACACACACACACACACACCACACACTATACACACACACTCACTCACTCACTCACTCTCTCACACACACACACACCACACACTATACACACACACTCACTCACTCACTCACTCTCTCACTCTCACACACACCACACACTATACACACACACTCACTCACTCACCACACACACACACTCACACACTCACTCACTCACTCACTCTCTCACTCACTCACACACTCACTCACTCACACACTCACTCACTCACACA